GGCAAGGTCAGTGATTAAGAAGGGGGGTGTTTTACTATTGTTGACTTTTAACAGCAAACAAAACAATTGTATACTACAGATAAAAAATTGTACAGACATACAGCCACCCCAATCTGTTTTTTTTTTTTTTAATTTTTAAAACTAGCTTGATTTTCATCTTATTTTCAAATACTGGAAATGTTTCTGGAGTAGAGGATGCTCATAAAAGTACAAACATATGCATTGATTTTATAGAAACACAAGCAGACACCGGATAATGCTGCTCATATAACTATAGTAAAATGACCTGCCCTCGTTATCAAAATCCAGATTTTAATGTGGGATACCTAACAAGTAACTAGATAAGGACATCAAGAATATACTTAATCCTTACTATTATGTGCCAAATTACTATTAAAAGCTGAGCAAACTACAGGTATCTTGACATTTTATAGGTATCTCTAAATCAAGGATAGCCAAATTCAATATTAGAGTCAGAGTACTGTAGATTTTAAAGATTTTTAGCTGTCAATGAAGTCCATAAAACATTTGATTGGATTTTGTATCCAAATACTTAGTTAAATTAAATTATTAAGATCAGAGTTAGAATGACAACACAGGAGTTCCTGAACGGTTCAAGGACAGGGGTTGCCAATCCTCCCCCTAAATTAGTTGAAGACAACTTGAACACTTTGAAGTCTTTTTTTACTTTCTAAATACAGTATCTGAAATACTGGAGATATCATATCCATCATCTGCAGATATCATCATATCCACTATATTTCTCAACTTTAGATGACTAAAATAGGTCACTGATTATTACTTTATATGGAGATGTAGACTGAAAGTCATTAAAAACACAAGCATTTCTTGCATCTTTTAATGTCCCCTCATTACTGTATATATTAAGGTCCTGTTATATGAGATATACAGTATTTGATTTGCGGTTAATTTTAAGATATTTCACTTTTCAGTATATCCTAAAACAGTTTCCTATTTATTTTAAAATACTGCACAAAGGATTTAATGGAAGTTTCTTGGAATTATTTCCTGTTTAGTTTAAGATATCTCGTACGCATGCTGAGACATTTTGAAATAACTTCCTGTTCTTTTGAGAAGATTTCAGATTTACTTTGTGATACCTGCAAATAGCTTCCTGTTTATTTTAAAATACATGCCATGAGAGATCCTCCTTGGAAACACCTTGCCATTAATTTTAAGATATCTTAGGTATATTTTGAATGATCACAGATCACATTATTTATTGGAAATTGAATTCCGGTCCTTTTAATGTCACAAAATAAAACATAGGGATTTTCAAATCAAGTCAAGTGAAATATCTCAAAATGCTTTACAATACTTTTGAATGGATCTTTAGGTCTAGAAATGCAACAGACATTTGTAAATATTAAAAACTTTCTTGAAATTGAAATTTAAGATATCTAAGATCTGTCATTCCCAACCTTGGGGTAAAATCAGAGAAGACAATGATGGTTTCAAACTATGGTTTATGGAAGAATTTAATGAAATAACATGACTCATAACATGAGCAGTAAATATGAACTTAAGCAAAAAAAAACTCAATGAATGTGAAAACTACTTTTTGTAATAAGAAATCTCAACCTATCAGCATAAAGGCCACTTTAAACAAACAGGGAGTGATACTGTATGTAAGGGCCTCATAAACTGATTTTGGAGTTTGTTTTTGAATTACAAATGCATGTGTATTGCAACAAGCATGTGATATTGAAAAGTAAAAAAAAAAGTTTGAACTGAAACTTAATAATTTCATGTATGAATGGCACTTTATACAATGCAGATACTATGTGGTACAGTATATGTCTGAAACAGGCCTTCCTACAAATAGTTAACTGCGATAAAAGGACAAGAATGAATGGCACTGGTCCTACACTTTTCAGCATACGAACACTCATTCATAATACTTATTAGACAAAGTAAAAACGTGGGAGGTACAGTAGATAAATGCTTCTGATCAATATGAGTCTAAAATGTTAGTTGTAGTTACATTTTGTTAGAAGCTGCTGCTCAAGTAAAGTGAATTTTAAGAATGAAATTTGGTTTTCCACATTGTTGAACATGAGAGTTTTTGGTTTTCAGAACACATCAGGAAATATGGTTATTTCCCCTGTATATTGTATTATTACTTTTCAAAATTTTTCTAACGGACACTAAGAGGACTACAATATGCCCCCATTGCTATCTGTATTTCTGTTGTTGTTGGAGGAAAAAATGACCAGTCTGTATGGCTTGCCTGAATTTTTCAAACAAGCTTTTGTTTGGAACAGAGGAAAAAGATGCACATGTTTTCATACAAAGATTCACAAGACTCACACAATCAGCTTCAGGTCTTGGATCAGAAACAAATGTGTGAAAAGTTCCTGGAATTTCCTTGCTTTCCTAACAGAAACCCCCATGTAGGGAAATTCAGGCTTTGCGGACAAAAGGCTTTCTGCCTTTCTTCTGCAGATAGTATGAAACTTTCCTACAACTGATGGGTGGTATCTCACTATTTATGTTTTAGTTTCATTATTGCACCTCTGAATAAATACTGTGTACTGCTAAGCTATGGAGAAAACATGGCAAATTTGGGCAAATACCGAAATCCAGAACAGTAAGACTTTGTACTATTTTTCTACTGCTCGTTTTTGGTGCCTGTTCTGTTCTTATATTCGGGGATTTCCAAGTAAAGGAAATAGTAAGGTTAACAAGCCAACCAAAATAACAAACCGCATTAATTTCAATTCTCATAAACATGTTTACATCTATAATTGTCTTGTCTTAAAAAAAAGAAAACATACTTAGTCATACTGTTATAAAAACAGGACAGAATATCTTATCTAAGTCAATTTCTCTGTCTTAGTTACATATGATAGAAAATAGTACTAAAGAGAAACTCTGTCAAGTGTGAAGTACAAATGCAATACCCTAATATGTACTGTGCCATTGCTTGCACATTATTATTTGGTTGTATGTTTTTAAAACACTGACTAGAACTTACTGTGTTCTCTAATTAGTCACATCACAGTGTTTCATGTTCTGGAGAATGTTGGCATTTTCAGTCAGCGTGATCTTACACTGGAAAGAAAATGATTGCATGATAAACAACAACCCTAGATCATGAACTGCGAATGATGTAACCCTATGTCATTGCAGATGACAGCATTGCAGGGTATTTACAAGCATCAAAAATATGTGTGCTGTGGAAAACATTCCTTAATGCCTTTTTAGCAAATCAATGAAACAAATCATTTCTATTAACTGTAACAGGGCAATACTATAAGTTTAACCACTATATAAATGGGGCTAATGTCTATTTAAAATATTGCCATGTTACATGAATCTTAACCTTTTGTCTATATTTTAGGCCTTAGGGATAATAATGAAGAAAGGTAGCAAAATATGATTGCTTACTTACTGTAAAAGCTTCATACCTTATTGATTTTTTATCTCCCTTTTAATTACAACCATAAAATTGTAGTTTTTCTTAATAACAATAGGAAGCTGTAATAAGCCTTAAATGTAGTGAAGTAATCTATATATGTAAAAACAGTCCCATCAACACTAGGAGCCATTTTTAAGCTCTCACTATAGAAAACGTCTCTGCCTTAAAGTGGGATTGTGATAAGGAAAAAAATACTTTAGGAAAAAATAATTATTTGCTTCATATTGATAGAAAATAAAAGTAAAAAAACCATATATACCTCATAATGATTTATGAGGTATAAATCATTGGACTTTTTTGTAAACATGAACTATTCCTTCATTTACTTTTAAACCTTGATACTAAAGAAAAATCTGAGCTACAGTCGCCTCTGAAGCGGCCTTCTCCTCAGGAAAGTGTCCCAGCCCTAGTGAGCCTATGGGGGAAAAACCGTCACCTGCTACCCGAGCGACTGTTGGGGCTTCATTTGGGCCTAACAGATTAAAATACACGTTGCTATTCATACCGTTGTACTATGTTTTAAATTCTTAGCACTCCACAAATGTGCTGAAAATTGTCCAGGAAGCTTAAAAAGAAAAACAATCGACTTTGATCTTACGTGCGATTGATGCTGTACTTAAATATGGGTTTGTTCTTATTCTCGATTGACAGACGATCCTGGTACTACCCTAGTAAATAATCTTAAAAAACGGCACCGCTACCCTTAAAACGTATCTTTCCTACTTTAAAGGTTTAATGTTATCTGCTTTAATCGGGGGAGATGGGAAACGACTTTAGGCTGGCATGACAAACAAATCATGAATTTAAAAATATATATTCTTATCTCCCGCGTCCAGGATTACTGGCTACAGATTAGCCTGAAACCACAGGCTCATTTTTTTCCTTTACTTGTCAGTTAAGTGCGATCGTACTGTCGTTTCACTGACGACCCAGCATCAAGCCAGTGAAACACCACTTACTGAAATATAACTTAAAGGTGAGAGAGCATTGGTATCTTGTATATTGTAGGTCTATATAGCAAAAATGTAATCGATTTATGAAATGTACCCGTTAATTAAGAAGTTTTTCTCAATAGTGTTTGTTTAGATCGCTACTTAAATAATAAAACTGCATTTTAATTTAGAAATACCAACACGTCGGCTGCCAACTGTGAAACGAACGGTAGTGTTTTTTTCTTTCTAGTGTAGCTTGTGTGACATTTATAGAGCTATATTTATACATACTGTATTGTCGTCCAGGTCGGTACCTTTAATTCCTGACTTTCAGGTGTTTTGATCATGGTAAGTACTGATTCGGTTTACACTTGTGAACTACAAACGTGCCAAATCGCAATTGGATTCTATTCTCTAAGGATTCAACATATAAATATGTTCAAATTACTACTAATCCCCAGCACATTTTGACCAAATAAAGTTGAAAGATTAGTGAGTACAATTTACATACTGTACCACCTGCCGTGACCCTAGTTTGCCCCTAACCTTGGGTGCAGTGTCTACTGTTAGATGTTATGTCATCAAACCCAAGTCCACTGTCACTTTAAGAGCTGTCGGCCTTCCTCTCCCATCTCTGCTGTTGTTCAACAAGATGGCGGCTAATCCAGAGAACAGAGTCCTCTGCTACAGTGTTTTTAAATGGAGCTCTTACTCCTCTACGTACCTACCAGAGTGAGTAATGCTTCACACACTTACCTATTTTTTTTTCTCTTTTATGTGCAGGTATGCGCATTTACGCGAATTTTTCGTTTAGTATTTCATAGTACTGGAATCCATGGCCTAACACACACCCCTCCTGCGGAATATCCTGGCCTCTCAAATGCGTTTTTTAAAAACAAAATGCAAAACGTAAACAAACATTCTTAGATAGGTGAATGCTCGTCAAATATATTTTAAGTACGTTTTCAAACGGTTTGCTTTACTGTTTATGCAAAGGGAGATTCAGTGCATTTTGTTTTAAAAGAAAGGCGAAAATAGAATTATCTAGTTTGCCGGGGAAATAATGCACAGAGGCCTTGTTTTAAACAACAGAGTTTCGAATTGGATTATTAAACTTGGAATTTGTGCTTTTCTTACGAAGATGTAATTGAATTGTTGAACCTGCTAGGAGATGACAGGCAGTTTGGAGGCGTTCAGATAGTGTTTTTCGTCAACTTGCCCGCTTGGTAATTTGATACGACCAAGTATCAACATTGTTATTTATGTTCAACACCAGGTCAACATACAAAAATTTAAAAGATAAAATATACTCATTCTTGTACGGTGCCTTGTTTTTTTATATGTGCAAACACACAATACAGTGACTAATATGCCTTAAAAGGCTCAAAATCCATAGAAAAGTTCAATTGAAATCCAAACAAGACTTGGCTATATTAATTTTGTGATAGAGTATTTTTCTTTGTGATATTTGTCTGCATTTACAGCATTAAGTGACTGTGATATGAAGTCCTCAAAACCGTGTTGTGTTTTTTTAAAAAAGGCTCACATTTTACTGTTATGTGGATCTCTGGAGTAAATTTGTAGCCTGCCTTAGGTGGTTATCAATGCACGGTACCACAGCTTTATTTTTTCTCATATTTTTAAAGTAACTCAGTAGTAAACGTCCAAAAATTTAAATTGGTAATATAAGATAATTACAGTACTTTAAAAAGGGCACAGTAGCTTGGAGAGCTGGGTAAAGATTTAGGATACACAAACTGCATTTCTTTATTACGTTTAAAGTGCTTGTCTAGATGTAAGTTGTATATTGGGGCTTTGAATAGATTGTGAACTTGGAATGTCTTGTAAATGCATCTTAAAGCACTAGGCTTGTGCATCTCACACTGTGTATTTTTAAAGAAGGAAACTGCAGAGTAAAACTAGCTGTTCTTAAGGTATAAAATTGCTGCTAGTGACATGGAAACAAATATAACTTGCCTGTTGTAGTATATTGTCTGATTATTTCTTTTAATTTTGAGGGGAAATGGTAGCTATCTATTACAGTGTGAAAACCTTAGAAAATGGCTTCTTAATCTATTTTACAAATACATTTGCCTGGTTTTGTAGTGAATGCTGCAATAAAGTTAAATACAGATGCTAAAATCTCACTTTTTTTTTTAGGAATATTTTGGTGGATAAACCTAACGACCAGTCTTCCAGGTGGTCCTCTGAGAGCAACTACCCCCCACAGGTACTGTAAAACGATAATAGAATGGTCTTTCAGCCCATACTGTTTGATATGTAACTTTTTAATCTGTTTAATTTTTCATCAGAGTGTACCTGTCTCTCTTTCTCCTTTCTTTGTTTTCTTGTAAAGTGCTTTGCTATGATGTCATTGAGGGTGTTAGATTACTAGGAAATAGATTACTGATGTCTTTATGCTCTGCTGTATCAGTGTTGCACTGTGTAAGGCACTCAGTTATTTGAATGCTTTTGCATTTTTTAGACCTAGTTCAAGCTATTGAGAGAGGTTTTTGTTGCAAACATTTGATTGGTTATTACTTAAATAAGAAGTCAATAAATTCAGTAAATGTCTTTAAATCCCGAGAAGCTGCAATTACTGAGCTCTTTCGTGCTTTAGTATCTTAGTGTCATAGTGCTGGCATCATCCCATGCCATTTCTCTTGTAGTTGAAGAGATAATTAAAGCCTGCTCTTTTCTCTTCACCACATTTCTTCCTCATTTCCCTGTCTGGTAAACCTCTGTTTAGTAATATTGGAAGCTTTAAAAAGGTTAAATTATGAGATTTCTAGTTTGGCTATTAAACTTCAGCAACTTGTGGTGTTTTGAAGACATGTCCTGTGGTTAAGGGCATAGGAAATCGAAAGTGGAAAATAGAGCCACTTACTGTTTAAATTAACACTCACTTTGTTCTCTTTTTTTTTACCATCTTTGCCAGTGTTAGTACGATTTTATTGAATATTGTTGTTTCTTATATGGCAAAAGTGCGTAATTTATTAAAATTTTAATCCTTTGGCCAATCAAGGCTGTGATGAGTAGGAATGAAGACCTTTTTGTACCATACACGGATGTCACAAATACCTAACAGAAGTTGGTATGAATGCTTATATCTAATGCATATACCTTGTGCATGGGTTTTTTTTAATGGTTGCATGCACTGTTATTTGCTTGTGTATATAAAGCTTCGATCAATGTTCAAAATTAAAATGAGCAAATTTGACATGTTTGAGATAATGGCACTACGCATAAAACTGAGCTTTGATAAACTCGGCAGCATCTGGTTGCTTGGCATTATGTGTCATGCAGGTCCTGAGCCAAAAGCCCATTTAAATTACTTGGTTTTCTACCATGGCCATACAGTAGAAGACTTGATGGGGAAAGTGGCTTTGCATATGGGAGAGCTTATTTTAATATGGAAGGTTCTGTGTGTCTCTGACCTGGAGTTGACTCATATTTCTTAATTGAATCAGATTTTTAATTTGTTTGCCCTAATACTGTACATTTAATTTACAAAAATCAAGTAATAGCTGTATTTGTTTCTGATCAAAATTACTAGACTAGTACATTTATGCAAGGGTCATCATAGTCATATTGATTCATGTGAAAATCCATCATCCTTTTCAGAAGACAAAGCACCAGACTAATACATGTTTTTATTTTTACATTTTACTGCAGACTTCTCCTAAATCCCCTTTCCCTTGCTGTTATGTCTCACATTTTGTACGCATTCTGTTCCTTTAAAAGCATATACTTGTTCTTGTTTCCTTGAGCAAATTGATTTTCATTATGCTTATCTTTCTCCTTTTAAATTCTCCCCCTTAACATTTCCATGTTTTTAAGGGTTGACAAATTGTTTCAGACCCCTGAATGATACAGTAAAATTTAAGGTCATTGTCATGTTGAAATCAAAAATATATTTTCCCATAAACTGGTTAAGTAATAAAATACAGGAATAGAATTACATTGTCTAATATACTTTTTGCAGTGTCCTGTTTGCATTGGCAGAATAAGCCTAAATGTTGTCTATTTTTATCTCATGACTGCCCAGTGAGCTTCTGCATCTTAAAGGGTGAAAAGATGATTTTTGCATAAATCTGATCATTTTAAAAGATTTTCTATTGTGAAAGAATTTCAGGAAAGTTCAGTGGTTTACTAATGGAACGCAAACATCTTTCAGCTGGCGCATAACTTAACTATGACAATAATTTGGACTTTATAAACATCTTAAATAGAAAGCTTAATTATTATAATCCAAGGTAAATGATTTACTTACCAGTACTCCACGTGATTCTAATTTGAGTTTATCTTTCCATGTAAAAGGAGTTACAGCCTAAAATCTGCCTAGAATGAGTGCTATAAGTTTCATATTTCATTGTGGATTCGTATATGTTTCCTAATTTCAATGATTACATTCACATCTTTATACATAAAAAATCTTGCAAGATTTTAAGTCCAGTATTACCCCATTTTGTTTGGAATTACATATGCTGCTCTGTAAAAACAAATCATAACATTCCAGAAATCGTTACAGAATATTGTTTTGAGGATGGGCCATTCTTAGTTCTAGGTTTATTCAGTTCTCTTCACTTTTCATTTGTTTTACTCTGCCTTATCTTGACTGGCAGTGTTTATCTTGCTGTGACAGCTGAAATTATTCTGCCTTTGTCTGAAATCAATTAAATAAATTGCACTTTTAATTGATCTAGTTTGAATTATTTGTTACCTTATATACAAAATAAGATTCCCCTTCCCTGAATTTTTCTGAATCACCTGATTATTTAATCAATGCAATTGAATGTCCATTATGTCCACTGGGATCCACTGCAGTAACAGCCAGCACTGGATTTTTTCAGCTATAACTCCTTCCAGTGTTTGTGTACAAGGAAAGTTTGGAAGACAAACAGTTTGTAGGAACACTGAGAGGTTGGTTGTACTGCTTTTAAGACTAAGTTTTGCTTTTTTTTTTTTGTTTTAGTACTTAATTTTAAAATTGGAAAGGCCGGCTATAGTTCAAAGCATCACCTTTGGGAAGTATGAAAAAACTCATGTCTGCAACCTGAAAAAATTTAAGGTTTTTGGAGGAATGAGTGAGGAAAACATGACTGAACTTCTTTCCAGGCAAGTAAAAAAGCAAATCTCTAACTGATAAATTATTCACATTTTGTTAATGTCAAAGCTGACTATTAATGAAGATTTTTTAACTCTTGGTTTAATATTAATTTAGTTGTAGCCAGATAAAACTGAAAATGCTGTACATTAAAGATCGCTTTTACACATCGCCTGCTCTTCCCTTGAACTACAATGTTTATATTTTTTACAGTGGCCTTAAGAATGACTATAACAAAGAAACCTTTACATTGAAACACAGAATTGATGAGCAGATGTTCCCATGCCGATTCATCAAAATAGGTAAGACTATGATGGCAAGGTATCGTTGAATGAAGATTGCCTTCTTGATATATTTAATAAGCATAATTCATTACAAATAAATGTGTATAGCAGAATAGCTACTTTTGGGGTTGCTCATATCTGTTAAATTAAGATCAGCTCAATAATAGTGGAATTGTAAGATATCATAGGATGTGAATGATTTATGGTTTTAAATCACACAAGTATTTTAAAGCTGCTTATTTTTGTTTTCAATTACTTTCTGTGGTCTCTTATTCCAGGCTGTTTTTTTTTTCCTGTAATTTCTGTACTTAAAAAACAGTAATTGTAAAATACCTATTTTTATAAGTCAGTATAGTGTCCAGTACTATGAGGAACACAATGGATAACTGTTGAAAATAATCTAGCTATGAAAGTAATGTGGTTCTAATTTGAATTTTAATGGAGAGTAGTTTTAATTGTACAGTTAATTTAGTATACACGTTGAAAAATCTGAGGATGGTGGCAATTGTATAGTGCTCCACTTCCGTTTATTTTTTAGTTGCATAATTTGAAGGTCTGTATACGCAGTGTGTATTTCAGTTGTTAATGTTATTTTTTCTACAGTACCACTGATGTCTTGGGGCCCCAGTTTCAACTTTAGCATCTGGTACATAGAGCTCCATGGGATTGATGAACCTGATGTGGTACAACCGTGCCTTAACTGGTACAGTAAGGTAGGCCTGCGTTTCTTTGCAGTTGTCTTTAGGGTGAAAAATAAAACTCCAGTCAGGAATTTTATTAACTTTTGTACAGTGTAAGAAATTTCCGAATGCTTCAAAAACTCAAAAACCATGTGGTCTTTAATGCACGAAATTGAGGGAATAGTCAAATACTTAAATATGTGGAGCGAGGTGAGTAGACATGTCAAAATATATTCTGTAAAATATAAAATTAATGTATTATTTTGTATGTATTGTATTTTGAGATTTGTTTACTTTGTCCTGATTCATACCTAGATTGCTAGTTTCTACTTAGGCTGAGCCCATCTACCCTTCATCCTGAGCTCCTATGAGCTTTCATCTTTTGACTCACTGCAAGTTTTCCAAGGCATTAGGGAAGTCGTCTCTAATTGGAGACATGACAATCCCAGGAGGTCTCGGGTGTCACTGTTTCGCTGGAAGCCAAGAGAGCCGTGGTGTGACTAATCCCCACCCTAATCCTGGCCTAATACTAGCCAGGGGCCGCTAGCAACATGACCCATACTTGAGCTCACAATATCTTAATAGAGCCTAACTGTCTTTCAGAGCAAATCAGGTTGAACCACTCACGATCTCCAATCTGCTCTTTTTTTCAAGAAATGGGACTAGGCTAATTTGTCTTATTATATACCCATTAATGTTTCAACCACCACCTGTTAAGCCTGACTGAGCTGTCTGGCAATGGCAATTGTATCTGCTCAGTGAGTATGAAGCCCATACTGTTGACTCTTGCACATAGCTGTTTGTTTTTTTTATACACCTTGCATGCTCCACATTGCTTTCTTAGCATTGACTGGAGTAATGACGTGTACGTCACCTATAACACTTAGAGCCAACAATCCCACTGGTGACTCCCTACTGATGGAAGCACTCAACCGATTGTGTACCACTGCTTGGAGAATCTTGGTCACAGGCGGCTAGTAACATGACCCAGGCACTCCTGGCCTAAATTAGCACCTAGATGAGCCATGTGGGAGTCTCACTGTTGCTTTTTAGTTTTATATACTGTATTTTAGGGAGAAGATTCAGTTTAGGAAAAAGAAAATGTAAAGGTAAAAGGAGCGAAGCAGTGTAAAATGAATATGGGGGGCATTTCTGTTCAGCCTTAGTTTGTTGCTTATTGAGGCTTAATTTTATATTTTTCTGTATCGTTATTGACACATGAAACCTCAAGATACCTCAGGCTTATTAATGGGCTTCCCTTGTGTTCCAGTAGTACCGTGAACAGGAAGCCATTCGTCTGTGTCTGAAGCACTTTCGGCAGCACAATTACACAGAGGCATTCGAGTCGTTGCAGAAAAAGACAAAGATTGCACTGGAACATCCCATGCTCACAGATTTGCACGACAAACTGGTGCTGAAGGGAGACTTTGATGCCTGTGAAGAGCTAATAGACAAAGCTGTGCATGGTAATTGAATTCTGCTTTGTATTGTTTGTTTGATTCTTTTATTTTTCTGTGTAGCTGAGGCTGATCGCTTTCTTTTTTTTTTGCAGATGGATTGTTTAATCAGTATATCAGCCAGCAGGAATACAAGCCAAGATGGAGTCAGATTATTCCAAAAAGCAACAAAGGTACAAAAAATAAAAATGCATATAACATGTTAAACATAATACTGTATTTAGTAACATCTGTACGTTTGTAAAAATGCTAAGCTATTCTGAGTATTTTTCTCAACGTTGTGGTTATTGTAATAGTCATTCAGTTGTTTTCTTAGAAAAGATGTCAATGGAAGATAAATTAATAAATCATAAAAATTAGGTGTTAGTTAAGATATCTGGGCTTCTTCTAGCCAGAAATTCTCCTCAGCCACTCTGCACTTCTGGATAGTTGTAATAGCCTTGTTTCAGCCATGCAGGTTTCAGACATGTACGGTGTTTTTAAAAAATCTCCAGTCTCACACTAAGGATCTGTACCTACAAGTATTACATCATCCTTTATGTACCGTTTTGATCACTCTGTACCATAACTACTTTTTGACTTGATAAACTAATTCTGCTTATAGTAGTTCAGGTGGGTAGCTGCGTCAGCATGCGTAGGCTGCAAAGGAACAAGTAATAGGTTTATTCCATGCTCACACCTGAAAAGGGCTCCACAGCTGAAATGTTGATTTCTTTCTTCTCTTTTCAGCAAGGAATAAACCTATTGCTTGTTCCTTAATTCTGTTCATTTAAATTCTGACATCCTATTTCAACTCTGTGCATACGTGCTGTAAGGTTCTTTCGTTATTGCTAATAATAGTTTGCTTCAGAGGACATGATGGTTACACTAAATTTACTTTTTGGTTTCAAAATGCATACAAATACGTCTCTCTTAAATAAACACTGAGTGTACATCTGGAGAGTGCTTGATAATGGTGTTCTGATACTTTTAAGGATTACTCTTTGCAGAAGTACTTCATTACAAAGCAGTATTCTCAAAATGGCATTGAAAACATGCTTCTAAAATATTTTTTTCCAAGTCTATACTTGAAAATGTTAAAACCCTGCCATTCTGATTATGGTGATCTTGCAGCTAGTGAAAATTGGAAAAAAAAATATTTTTGTACTATACAGACTCCAACCTGCACCAGACAGTCATTTACATCTGAGCTGAAAAGTTTTGATTTCTGTGCAGTTAAAGTCCAACGATAAAATAATTCTGTTCTGTGTTTCCAGATTGTGTTTCAGCTTGAATAGTTTAGCAAATGGATTCCTTATACTTAACTGTCTCTTCTGAAATACAGCCTGTTTTAATTAAAGGTGAAACAGTCTTTGAATTAATTTTGTACATAAGAGGATAACGGTAACAAAAATGTTCACAAGAACTTTTTAACCAACTAATGCACATCCATATAAAACGGATTACAGTAATCATGCTGTGAATTGCTTTTGTTTTTTGGTTGCTATCCATTCAAATTTGACAGGTATATAATACATGTGACCACTATCCACCGTTACACTTATTGTAATATATTTAATTTTAAAAATGCCGCTTGAGTGGTGAAAAATCATATATCAGCTTTTCTCTAAATTATCTATCAGGTGTGTTGAATGGGTAATACTAGTCCAGCATAGTACATTTCATTGAAATATTTGATGACTCTGAACTGGGTTTGCATTTAATAGATAAGACTTTATTGATCCCATAGGGAAATTGATGAAATAATGAAAAGGGGGATTTCAAGTCCTTTATTCTCTTTTTCAAGGTGATGGTGATGATAACCGGCCCGGAATGAGGGGAGGACACCAGATGGTGATTGATGTTCAGACTGGTAAGAATATGGCTGAAATGCTTAAGCTTGAGCAGTTTCTAATTTCATTCCTAAAAGATGCTGGTACTGAGAGGGAGGTGCCAGAAGTACTGTTGCTATGTTGTTGGATGCATTCTGTTGTGATGCTTTTTGAGAATATTGGAAAAAGAATGCCTTGGTACATGTTGGTACTTTTGTCAGACTATCTTAATTTTGAAGTAGTTCAGGTGGGTAGCTGCGTCAACATGAGTAGGCTGCAAAGGAACCAATAATGGGTTTATTCGATGCTGAAAAGAGAAATAAGAAAACACAACGTTTCGACCGTGGAGCCTTCTTCAGCTGACATACCTGAAGAAGTCGAAACGTTGTTTTCTTTCTTCTCTTTTCAGCATGGAATAAACCTATTACTTGTCTTAATTTAGTCTTTTTGGAAAATGCATGTAAAAAGCAGATTTTCAACTTGTGCTGAAAGGTTAATTTGAACATTTCAAAATTTTTCCATCTGGCTTAGTGTTAGGCAGAGACTGGAAATAAATTGCTACATGTTAGCATTGTCCTTTTGGCTTTTCCCCATCAGGATGTTCAGATGAATCCAAATCTGGTATTGTGTAGCTCCATCAATAAGACTCTTGTTGTTGTGTGGGTTTTGTGAGCAGTGAGAAATTATACATTTCTTGAGTCCCAAGTCTTGAGCTGGAACACTGCAAGCTCTTTGTCCAGTAGGAAGGTTAATTAGAGTTAATGAACTCAAATAACCTCTTCCAAAACAACAGACTGTTAACCTATGTCCTGTTTTCTAATATGATGGTAAGCCTTTCAGGCCATATTTAATGAAAGCATTTTTGAAACATTCCTTTTGTAACCTTCTAATGTTATGTTGTGTTGACTCAAGCACCATAAAAAATGCCTGATACAAGGTGGTTATGTTTTTATGTATTAACCCCCCACCACTACAAAACATTTTAATTATACTTGTTTAAAATGATAGCATTGTCAATGACAAAAATCTGTATGTATAGTAAATGTTACATTACTGTTGTTTACATGGGTTCAAAGGGACCTTGATCATGGTTATAGGACTTCAGTTGCTTTAAAAAAAGTCCCTTGAAATTAACCTGACATTGTGTTGACAATATTAAATTTGAATGTTTTTTTCATGTTCCACATTTTCTCTCAGTGTAAAAAATGTCAGGCTTCAAATATCTTTTTTTTTTCCCAATTAAGACCCTCTTACATCCATGGCAACAAACTGTTTTAATCTGGATTTTTAAAGTAAGGAATTCATACAAGCATTTGTCCACGCCCTAAGTAAGTATCTTTTATTTTAGAAACCGTATACTTGTTTGGTGGTTGGGACGGCACCCAGGATTTGGCAGATTTTTGGGCATACAGCGTTCAAGAAAATCAGTGGATTTGCATATCAAGAGATACAGAAAAAGAGGTTTGTTCAGCTGTTTGCTGTGTAGAAATTTGTTTTTGAAGGTTTGTTTTTCTGTTAACATTAGTAGTATTATAAGAGATGTTTTTCAACAGAGCTCCTGAAAATTAAGTCAGGTTCTAAAGAAGGAGATGGCTGCCTGTTTCAGTTTGGAGACCTTCTTTTCCCATAAATCGAAGCTGAGCTATGGAGGAAAAATGTATTTTGGTTTAGTCCTAGTGAATAAATTAATTGCAGGGTGTAATAGTGAAAATGTATATGGGTACTTCATTGGTTACAGAAGTATATTTTGCATAAGGACTGCTAAAACACTTTTCCTCAACTTGGTGATTTTCTTGCTCTATTATTCAACAAAAAGAATGAATATGCTTCTTTAAGCATGATACAGCTAGCATTATAATTATAAGAGCTTTTTGTGAAAGAGGAAGTGCAGAGGCGTCCAAGCTAATTGGCCAGAAACACAATAGCCTCATCTTTATCAGTGCATTATTCCGGTCACTGTTTTTCAGAATGACTGTGACTCACTGTTCTCACTCAGTGTGAAACTTGTTCTTTCATATTGTGTATGAATCCATTTGACTATTCTCCATATAGTTGTAGTGCCTAGTGATTCCAAATCCACATATGGGGAGAGAAGTTTTGGTGATTTCAAATTAATTAAAAAAAAGTCTATTTTAACTTTTCAAGATGACTTAATTCTTTTGATCTATTTTACAGATCAAAGTTATGATAGCCCTTTTAAGATTGTTTATACATTTGAATGAAGCAATGTTCAAATTATATTTTAGACTAAACCTGCCTCATTGAATAGACCAGATATTGTATGGTGTCTTATTAAAGCATTCATCCTGCCAGTGAAATTTCCCCCATTTTAATGCCATAGGAGATTGCAGTAATGATGCAGTTAAATAGTATTTTGTATGTAGAAGCTACCCCCAAAGGATGGATCTTAAAATCACGTTGGATGTAAATATTAGGCTTTTGAAAACCATTAGAAGATATTCAGTTGTATTGGTACATGAATGAATAAGTATTCATTCCTTTTTTTTGTTCAGTGAAAGATTACTTTGATAGGTTTCATAATTAGTGTAATGTTCACTTAAAGTGGTTTAACATGACTTCTGAGTATCTGTCTCTAGGTTCCCCCAGTTAGATATGATTTTCAAGCCATATCTGGCAAAGTTTCGAAGATGGGAACAAGGTGATAGGAGGAGGTTATAAGAAAATTTCTAAGTTGCTAATCATCATTAAGTCTAATGTGTGTCATTACACCTTGATAATCCCCCAGTCAGGCCATTCTTCCAAACCAAACATCTAGAGAAGCAGCAAAGTGCTGTTTTACCTGCTGTATTAATAACCTAATATAAGCATCACCCCAAAATTTGGACTGTGGCAATTGAAAAAAGAACTTTACAAAGCACAGGTTACTTTTCTGAATGGAAATGGTACAAATGAAAAAGTTTTCTTGGTTTTAAATAAAGAAAAATGATGAAGAGTTTAAAAGACAAAATGCAGATAAAACAGTAAACCTCCTCATATCCAGAAGAAACATTGTGGAAGGGGCTCCTGATACATGGATTTTTTGGATAGTTTTGAGTAAAGCAAACTCATACGCCTAGCCTAAAGCAAAATGCTTAGGACAACACCACAATGATCAAACCCATTCCTCCTCCCGAAACACATTATCCCGGCACGGGACGCTCTGAGTTCTTGAATCGTAATGTTAAGCTGTGTAGCTGCCTCAAAGGATTTAAACCTTATCACAAACCGTTGTGACCATGAGTCCACTCCAAACTGCCTTCCATCCTGACGATTCCAATGCTGTTCAACAGATAGGAGCACCTCCTTCTTGATTGCAAAAGTTTGCTGTGATATCTTTATTTGGATAACTTCAAAATTAATATAAAAGTTCAATTGCATCAACATGACAGAACCAAACTGTGTTCAGCACTCTGGTGATAAACAATGTAGTAAACTTGTTTGAATTAATTTTGTTTTTGAATTTTGAATTTGTTTTTACTTGTATTTAAATATAAGCCTCAGGCCAATTGTACCACCCTGAATTTGGAAAAATGTGTGGCTTGTATTTAAGGTAGTTAAAGATGTCACTATGAAGCGAACAGTATGTTTGACAGTGACTGAAAGATTTGCAGAATTTGTACTTCAGCAAGACTGTCCAACTTTTCAAAGCAGGTGATGACATTCAAAAAGACTTGCAGCAGTAATTACTGCCAAATGTGTAGCCACCAAGTAATGATTTAGGTAGATGCATACCTATGCAGTCAGTAAATTTGTATGCTGTCTTTGCAGTGTTTTCTGACAATTTGCTTCTATTACATATAAGAATATTCAGTTTGATCAGTTCTATATAGAAAATATGGGGAAAAAAACTACAATTTATTGAAATGACATTAGTAGTCTGATTTCTGTATTTAATATTTCAGTTTTGTATACCAGCTTACTATAAAGCTAAGATTGCATATTATAAATTATTTCTTATCTAGCAGTCCACCAAGTTAATATTAAAATGAATAAAAAAATCTATTCCATCTATCATAAAGTACAGATCCAGTAAAGTACAATTTTAATAAGAGCTGGTTTGTGTTAAATTACAACCTAAGCCTTCTTTAAGTATGTATTGGATAATTATACATGGTAAATTTTAATATGTAGCTTTAGTTGTATAAAGATAGCACTGCTTTTTTAATGGTTTATTTGGTTTGATATATCACAATCCGCATGTCAGAACCTTCCTAAACCTACAACCACAACCGAATGCTTTGTAAATATATTTTTTAAATTGTCGATCCATTATTTTGTAGTATTGGAATTTGTCATTTAAATTATTCTATTGCAAAATCTTTTTATTCCTTTGGTCCAATGTTTTATTAGTATCTTCAAAGTTCTGCAGGGTTTTAATGTGATCATAAGCTAGGAATCCCTAAACCCATTGGAGCATATTAACGGTATGGATGTCATAGCTTGTTGAGCAGTTCAAGTTCCCATTTTATCTCTGTTGATGTGACAAAAACAGAAGAACTTCAGTTCATGATTGATGCAAACAGATGGCATCCGACCTATTTGCAAGTCTTGAATCCACTCATTAAAAACTCTGGTTTGTTTTGATCAAAGAAAGAGTGGCTGTTATCGCCACCTTCTGTATAGATGAAGCATATCTGTGTTTTGCAATTGCATGCAAGAAAAGTAATTTATTTTCTTTTGGACAGTGGGGAAAAAATAAGTATTCTTTGAATGTATTTTTCCCCTTAACACTTTTGAAATTTCCACAGTACGGCTCATGGCAAAAAATAACTTACCACACAAATGGAACGCGGAATGATTATTCTTTGCAAGCAGTTTAGCTGGTCTTGCAAAAAGTTTTGAGTTCAAGAGACAAAAAGCTTATTAATTCTGCATTATCTTCTGGTTACTATCATTTCTTTTCAACTAATATCCCAATCTGTCATCAGACCTGTCCAAAAAAGCTTTTTGCATTGAATAATTTAGAATTCTGATATTCACTTAATCTCCATTTCCTGAAAACTAATTGAATAGAATTTGGGATAGTTTGGATTTAATCTAAATGCATATTTATTCTTTGATTGCCAAACTGTGTGGTATAGTCATTTATTTATTTTTGAGAATTTAATTTAAAACTTGAATTTTTTTTATTTAATGTTTATTGATAGTGTTTTTATTGACAAGTCATTGCAATTGAATGTTTGCAAGTTTTTTGAAAACACTTTTGCCTTGTGTGATTTTTGTGGGGATTACTTAAGCTACAAAGATCTGCTACTAAACATTTCCCATAGAAGTGTAGTTTTAGATACTTGACAACTTATATGGAATTTAATGTCTTAGAGACAGGAACTTTTTCGTAAGATGATGTTGAGTGTTTTTTCCTGTTATAAGTACTGTGACTACTGGGAATCTAATGAAGAAATATGTACTTTTTGTGTCTGCAGAATGGTCCCAGTGCTAGATCATGTCATAAGATGTGTATTGACTCCCAGAGGAGACAGATTTACACATTAGGACGTTATTTAGACTCCTCTGTGAGGAATAGCAAGTCTCTAAAAAGTGATTTCTATCGCTACGATATTGACACTAACACATGGATGTTGCTCAGTGAAGACACATCGGCTGATGGCGGACCCAAGCTTGTTTTTGATCATCAGGTAAACCTTTAGACTTTATATTGTGGAAACAATTTTCTAGAATAAAATCTATTCAAAGTTCAAATTTTATGATTTGACACAGATGTACAGTAATGTAGTAGTAACATTGTTCAGTTTTTTTTTAGAACTATGCATCTACTGAATATTTCCTCTTGGCAGAATTATTAATGCATATTGTGCTGTTTTTATTAGTATATGAATAATACAGAACTCATGGAAATTATTTGCAGTTGCATCATAACAGAAGTGGAAGAAATGCATATGTATTATGTTGCCAGAGGTTCTGTTCACAACATAACTTTCATACAATTAATTCATAGCTTATATTGAGATATAATTACTAAGGAAAATGGTCTGTTTTGTAATTCAGCAGATTGATTGCTAAGAAATGTTTTCACTGTTTTTTCTTTTGTTCCAACTTTAGATGTGTATGGACTCTGAAAAACACATGATTTACACATTTGGTGGAAGAATCTTAACTTGTAATGGGAATGTGGATGACAGTCGGACCTCAGATCCACAGTTCAGTGGTCTTTATGCCTATCATTGCCATTCTAACACTTGGAAACTTCTCCGTGAAGATTCTTGTAATGCTGGGCCCGAAGATGTCCAGTCAAGGATAGGACACTGTATGCTTTTTCACACTGTGAGTCTCCTTTTCTTTATTAGAAGAAATAAAGGAAGCCTGTTGAAATTCCTTTAAATGTTTATAACGTGTTTGTTACAGAGCTAGGTCCGGTACTTTGTGCATTCTCTGATGTTTCAGTTAATATTGTGATTTTATTTTGTTGCTTTTTAGAAAAACCGATGCCTTTATGTTTTCGGAGGTCAAAGATCCAAAACGTATCTGAACGATTTCTTTAGTTACGATGTGGACAATGACCATGTTGAAATTATATCAGATGGCACAAAGAAGGACTCTGGTATGGGTAAGTTAAAATGTTCACGATAACAGAAGAACTTTAATAAAACTATACTGTTTTTAATTATAACACATTCTTTGGTTTTAAATTAAATTCATTCCATGTTACATTGTGTTTTGTATACAGTTTTCTTGTTTTTATATTAATAGTCTTGAGGCTTATGGTTGTGTTGTGAACCAAAAATAAAAAATTATGGTTGTACCTTAAGAGCAGGTTTTACAAAGATTAACTATACTTTTAGACATGTTCAGTAACATGATGTAGACTGATCTTCAAATAAGAGCTGTTTTTTTGTATCTCTTTTCCTGAATTGACTTTAAATCCTTGATAATTTTTATTGCAGTTATATTTCAGTATTTTGTAATTATCCTGCTTTATGCTGACAGTTTGAGTACCTTAAATAGTGTTTTATGATGACGGGATAATATTTTCCTCTTTTAATTATAGTGTTTATGGCTGACTGACTTTATAGCTTCTAACACTAAGTAAAGCAAAAACCAACAAGAGAAGATAGGGAATACATTACTAGTAATCTTGAAGCATGACTTTTAACCCTCTAAGTCCTGATTTGCAGATTGTGTAACTGTAAGCAATGTTTGGAGCAAGTTTGAGTAAGATTCTTTTGATTTGTAAATTATGGTTATATAATTTTTTCTCTTGACCATTTTCTGATGGTAAACCACACATCCTTATTGACGCTATGCAATTCATTCACATAAGGTGCTGAAATTGGTGTTTAATTTCAGAAAAATTGAATAAAAATTCTTAGGCTTTTAACTTTTGTAACAAGGCTTTTCAAAGTATTAGATTTTTTTTTACTTTTGTGAAACAGCTGACGATGGTATTCTCTTCTGGTAAACTGCCAATGCATTGTCCACATAAACAAGTTGAGTCATCTGAATTACTTGGCAAAATTAAGTAATTGTAAAAATTAGTGTTTAGCTTGGTAATCCTGCTTTCTTATGGGTTTTGAGGAACAGAATGTTTCTGGCAGTAAAGTAGTGAGAAGTCTGAATCAAACACAAGTTCCAGGATTCTCATAATCATTTGCAAATAGTTTATCACTACATTGTTCTAGATCGCATAATCTCCCTTATTCCCTTTAATGTACCTTATTGACAAATATATTATTGAAATGATTTAGATTTGTGCAAGTATTGCATGTAATAAAAATATTGCCTTCAATTTTGAAGGTTTTATATAGTTTTCCAATATATTCATACTGTGAGGGATGACATTACACACCTTTTGTTTTGTATTGACAATTTCCAGTCTGCTTTTTTTGTAAATTAAAGTTAATTTTAAAAGTACTTAAAGCATTTTTCAAGGGTTGCGGATTTCAAAATTGGTTGGCTTGATAAAAAGGATTCATGGGGGGGGGGTAGAAACTATAGGATGTGCAGTATCTGCTGAGTCAATTTAAATCTTTGCACTCTCTCTCCAGTCCCAATGACAGGCTTTACTCAAAGGGCCACCATTGACCCCGAATTGAATGAAATCCATGTGTTGTCTGGGCTCAGTAAGGATAAAGACAAACGGGAGGAAAATGTGAGGAATTCATTCTGGATATATGATATTGCTCGGAATAGCTGGTAAGAAATGTATATAAAAGGGGGATTTCTGCCATTGCTGTAGGGTCCTGTGCCTTTTGCACAGCCTGGTCACTGTTGTACATGGTGTTTGGGTACCAGTAGGTGGAGCTATTGTAAGTGGGGGGGACTGAGCTATAGGAGGGATAGGAATCTGAAAAGCGCTGTCCTGGAAAATCCGCTTTGTTTGGCATCTGCTTTATTACCTGGCCTAAGTACAGTTGCCCCTTATTTCATTTGTTATAATTGCAGTTTCGATTTTAGAAATCCTAGTGGTTATGGAAATCACTTAATTCATGAATGCTTTACATTTTCAGTATTCTGGAGACTGTTTTAGGTTTATGTTAGATCTTATTCCTTTTGAGCCATAGCTGACTTGAGTCAGGCTTCATTTTGTCCATGTCTGTTGTACTTGAATCAGGTCTTGTGTGTATAAGAATGACCAGTCTGTGAAGGAGAATCCTAGTAAGACACTGCAAGAGGAGGAGCCCTGCCCACGTTTTGCTCACCAACTGGTGTATGACGAGCTGCATAAGGTCAGTGCAAGAATGATTCTCACTGTTAAACTTTGTCCAAAATGCTACAGAATAATCTGGTTATACATTTTACTCAGTGGGTTGATGTAAGATGTTGATCTTTCTATTTTTAAAATAGTTTCTTCAGTTACATGAAAATGTTCAGAGTTTCAAATGAAGGAGTATAGAAAGCTAAATGGTGTGGGGCACAATTTCAGACTTGGAGCCATTGCGTGCGAATACTTTATTGATCACTTAAAAATTGATTCCATCAATATCTTTAGATCTGAAATAAAGGTTTAGTTATGTTCTCAGGTAGTAGGCAGAAGACCTTACAGCCCTTAGAGACAGGAGAGGCCTTTTCCTTTGCAGGAGAGAACACTTTCATGAGTAATGCGACAGTGCTGGCCAATACACTTCTTTTTGTAATGTGAAGCTGACCTCTTTCCCGATTGTTTCATATAAATGGTTGTTCTCGTCTTTTGAGCAGCTTTAGATTTTAGTGGTTTTGATTTCTCGACAGAAAATTAAAAATGTCTCAGGCTTTTAATGTTTATCTTTACTGTGTTCATTTCAGATTTTAAAGTCTAGATGGATTTTGGTACCATTTGACAATTTCTTTCTGGGTCACTATGTAGGTCCACTATTTGTTTGGTGGTAACCCTGGCAAATCCTGCTCTCCAAAAATGAGGCTTGATGACTTTTGGTCGTTGAAGCTCTGCCGTCCTTCCAAGGAATACCTCCTCAGACACTGCAAATACCTCATTAGGAAATACAGGTCGGAGACTTCTTAGATTTCCTATATCATATGCAATTTCTTTTTTATTTTAAAGTATGATCAAATGTGTAAGGTTTGTCATGTATAAATACTTATTTGTGATTTTAATTTTCCTCAGTGTTTAAGTAATGAAAGTTGTTTTTCTAGTTTAAATAAGACTTTTGTGTTTGACCAGGCTGTATTTATTGCTTGGTTCCTTTTTTTTCCTAAATGATAGACTGGCCGATACTTAAATTTAAAAATCATGTGTGGTTATTCAGACGTTGCTGGTCGACTTATGAGTAATACAATGGTCTTCGCCCCATCCCATTGCATGTGTCTTAAATGGGGAGGCTATAAAGAAGTGGGGGCTGATAAAGACTGCTTGTTTGCTACATTGTGTTATTAGAATTCTTACGTTAACACAATTGGTGGTGAAAGCTTACAAAGGGCTGGCTACAAGCTGAAATTATCTCCCATGTCTTGGTTAAAAAAAAAGTGATTTTAATAATGCGCGCATGTATTAAGTTATTCCTAGCGAATGTCTAGCATTAAGCAGTAGAAAGTCCGGTTCTGAGAAATTTCACACAAGCCCAATTGTCTTTCTTTTCACTTTTGTCTTGGTGGCTGTTTATTGACATCTAGTGGCCATATCTTACAATTGCAAGCTTCATTGGTGAATTAGTCCAGTCTTAAAGTGGTTAGTAATATATTTTTTAGCGATATCGATTTTTAAAAACAAACCCAACTAGTTTTCTTCGTTCATATTTTTGTTGTGAAATTACTCATACTAGAAAGTACTAGTACTTTAGTATCTTCTACAATGTGTCTTGGGAAAATGATCTCACTGAACAGTTCGTTTTTGCATCTTTGGTCTCTTAAACTGTAAATAGATATGCAGTAAACCCTCGGTTTCACTGGCGAATGGGGGAATGGGTGTTTGTTATTGCCAAATGTCTATTAAATCATTAATTATGTTTTTTCAGCCCACAAATACTGTTATAAGAATGATGTATACAGAATATACTATCTGTATGAATTCTGATTTTTTTTGGCTTATTTTTAACAAGTGCAATCAACACAGTCAATGAAATTTGTTACTGTGCCTTGTTTATCACAAATATACAAGCTCTTTATTTCATGCTTCATACAGTGTAAACTTTGCTAAAGCATACAAAGCGTAAGCAATTGATCTACCCTTAGAGGGCACTATTGATATTCCTGAATTTTTTAACCTCTGTAGTTTTTTTACCTTGTTGTGTTATTAGTGCACTTTACAGAGCTTTTTTTTAAATACTGTTAGCATTTTAGTGTATTATTAAAAATTAAGTTTCAAGTTTAAACATTTTCTAAAGCACACAAAATCGTAAGGAGTTTGCCTACCTATGCACCAATTGCCCTACCTCTGTAGGGCATCTTTTATTTTTGTGTTTTTTAGACCTATTTAAAGGTTTGCTGTATAGAAGATATTTTAGCATTTTACATTCCATGCATTTTCTCATTTTACTTAATATTTCTGTACTAAAATTCTTTTAAAATGCATGAAGTAGAGCATCATTGTTATGCACATTTATTCATAAAATGTCAAGCCATTATGCAATCACTGTTCACTACATGTTTAGATAGATTATCATGTTTCCAAGTAGCTTAATTTTGTCATTTTGATTTAAATGTAATTGTTTAATTTCATTGTAATTTAAAATTAATTTACAAAATTAATCCTAACTTTATTGGTGTTGTACAATGATCATACATTGAAGCTTGTACTTTGCAATTTTAAAGAGTAATATAGTTTTAAAACTAGCACTAGGTAACTACAATACTCTTGCTTAACATTTTTAGCAGGAATTAAACATTGCAGGTCATACAAAATGTGTACATTAATTTGACTTGTAAATTCTTTAAGCTTTCCATTGTATAAATGTAGGAATTCTGGATTTGTTTGGGACTCTCGCTGCATGTAGAAAAATTACCTTTAGTAACGTTGTCCAGAACTGAGTAGCTACTTTGTAAAGTGCTCTTTATTGATTGCCCTGACATTTTGATGGCTGCCATTACAAAATCAGACAACTTACTTTAATACTTCATTAAGTATCCCCACTTTACATATGAAGTGCTCAACCATGCACAAAAGTGTTAGAGGAAGAAATACATTTGGAACAAGCAAAATAATAAAAAAAGCTGTGTCATGGAAATACATTCTGCTTGAAAAAAGTCATAAATACTAATTTACAGTGACACAGAATTCTAAGAGTAATTCATAAAGACAATATTAGGTTTTGTGCTCAGCCATTGGATTTGAACACTCAAATTTTACCACAGCAATACTAGCACAGCTGAATCTTAGTGAACTCTGAAAATGTGTAGTCTAGATTGTCTAATTGGAAGGTTAGACTGTTGTCTTTACCCTTTTATGTTTTCAACAGGTTCCAGCTTGTAATGCTTCAGCAAATAGATTAAATGATCTCTTACAAATAAAATTGCAGTTAGCTTTATATTGTGTTAAAAAATTTTAAAGAGGACTTGGAGTTCTAGATCTTATTTGTTTCTTTTACTTGCAGGTTTGAAGAAAAAGCTCAAACTGAACCTCTAAGTGCACTAAAATACTTACAGAATGACCTCTCTTTAACTGTGGATCACTCAGACCCTGAAGAAACGAAAGAGGTACAGAGAATAAAATCTTTCATAAAAGCAATTCCTGTTAAAGTGCATGTATGTCAATGTGTTTTTTAAGAAATACTCGAGTGGGAATGTGTTACCACATCTGAAGGCTGTTTCCTTAGTTGACAATATCAGTACCTGATTTGCAGAGAACGAGACGTTCAGTCATGCTCTTCTGACGTGCTCATAAAATTCTTTATTTTATACATTGTTAATTCCGTATAGCCCAACAGGAGAGTTGGCACACATTTATTGACCATTGCATCTCTCATTTATATTGCTGCAAGCCTGCATGTGCCTGGCTAGTTGCAGTAATTGCTGTTGTGCTGACAGTTGGCCCTGGCCAACTAATACCATCCGACCCCAACTGCATTCTGCTATTTGTGTGTTTCTCCTCACCGTCTGGAGCTCAGTCAGCATTTCGAACAAATACCTTTACTGGTTGTCACTTGGGATCCCACTTGGGGGGTCTTTGTGTTCTTTTCAATATAGCTTCTATTTTTTAGTCTTTCATTTGGTGGAATGACATACAGTACTGTTCATAAGTACGGAAATTTATTAATTTTGTTAATTATTGCAGAAACTCCCTTTGTCCATTTTGGTCCTTATTTATAAAATGGTCCATTTTAAGTTGGTCCTTATTGCAGTTATATAGCATGAGATTGTTTAGGTCCTTCACCTCTGTTTGAAACTGATGTATTCCTGAAGACTGCTGTGTAAATTCAACTAATTTTCCATGAGATTGTAAATAGGTTTCAAGTACACTCCCAGCTATAGGAGTGAAGTACCAAATGAACACAGTTACACATTTATTCATGTAATTGTGCTTAGTTGTTTTAAAAGTGATTTAATATTCAGCAATGTCATGTAACTATGAAGGGAAGACTGTTAGTGGTAGGTAGTGAACAGTGATAAAAATGCCTCAGTCATGCCTATAGACCCATCTGGATGGTGCACATCCTCATTTTGCTTGTTAAAGAATTGTTTTCATATGAGATGAGAATGTAATGGTTATGCTGTGGGTTTGAAGCCCATTGAACATTAGTGTAATGAGCTGTGATGTTGCATTTACTGCTCAGTATCCAGTGAACAGGTATGTTTGTCCAGACTCCGAGAGGAATGGTTCAGGTACAAAGCTTATATCGCACACATACAGTTTGTATTTCTGATTAGGATTGTCTGTGAATACATCATTCAATGTGTGACATTTTCTTTGTGATTTCTCCTGACTTTAGAGTCAACAGGGTAAGGTATACTGTTAATTATAACCAATCAGCTGTCACTAATGAGGTGATTTAGTGTTTATGCAACAGTTATGAATCAAAATGTCAAAAATGTTTAACCAGTATTCCAAAACAATATTTGTTTGTTTGTTTGTTTGTTTTTTCTTAAACATCTATGCAGGGTTCATTTCTGATGATGCTGATGTGTTTAAAATATTGGATTATCTATGTTATCAATGAACAGAAGCAGAAATGTTTTTTTTTTACTTTTTTGCAAAATTAGTTTCCATTTCCAGACTTTTGGAACAGTACTATATGAAATAAGGATTTTTACATTTAATCTTAATTACAACCTTTTTTCTTTTTTACTGTCTGAGTTTTAATTTGCATGTGTTCAATTCAGTTTCAGCTCCTGGCATCTGCATTGTTTAAATCCAGTTCAGACTTCATCCCATTAGGTAAGTGACCACTTTCAAAGTTTTAAAATGGTCTATGAATTTTCTTTAGGTAGGGAAAACCTAAAGGCTAGTAAGGTATATAAAAAGCACTTTATTTCAGTTTTGTTTCTAGAATTTACATGTTCAGCTTTGCTTTTGATTTGCGGTAGTGATTGAGTGCTTTATCCATTTATAGGTCAGTAAAGTATCTAATTTTGGTAGAAACAAATGATTGTGAGCAAAACTAATGTGTTTCTCTGCTTATTGCCCAGGATTTTCAGATGTGGATCAGACTTATGCTCAGCGCACTCAACTTTTTGACACTCTGGTGAATTTCTTCCCTGACAGCATGACTCCTCCAAAGGGCAACCTAGTCGACCTCATCACACTGTAGCAGAGGCAAGACCCTGCTAAAAAAAACAGATTTTTAGATTATTTAATAGTAACTAGAAATATTTTTATAAATTGTTCTAGTTCTGAAATGCTGACTTTTTTCTTCTGTGCTTACCAGTATTAAAAAGTAAAATGTAAGGATTTCGCTTTAGAAGAATCCAACTTCAGTGGGTTTATTTAAAAGAAAGTCCTTGTATACTTCATTTTAAGCTGGAATGCACCTGAATTGTGTAAATTCTATATACAAGTGTTTCTATTAAGCTGTGGGATGAAATCGTACATCATAACAGAAGCCAAACTGTCATAAATCCCTTATTGTCCCCCAATGATCATGTTTAAGGTCTTGGGTACCTCTGAGCGGGTCACCATCTGTGTTTTTTTTTAGCTGGAATTTGGCCTTCAATTTTTTTTGTTCCTTCTTTGTAAAGTTGCTTTGCTAACATAGCTGTATTTCAGTTTGTGATTTTCTGCAGGTACCTTTAAAAATTGATGAAAACACAAATGTACTGTAATTTCACATGGAATGAATGTCTAGGTTTGTAATTTTTTTGCTCTTTTAGCCAGTCCAGTATTGTTTTTAAGGGCTTTTAAAAAAAATACATATCATTTTTATATATTAATTTTAAATATTTAAAATGCCTGCAGGGATTCATACAACTCTTGCCTTTCTATAAGATTTTTTAAGTCCATTATATACAAAGCACTATCTTATCCAATTTTGTTGTGCAATCCAAGACTAAATTTGGAATTAAGTTAGAAATTAGCTAGAACATTTTAAAAAGTAATTTCATCATATATACATTAATTTAAGACAAATGTTCAGTGATTATCGTTACTTCTTAACAAACCATTCAAGCTTCTCACCAAAAACCTAAGCATAGATCTGTTTCTGAAATCCAGAGTTCAGCTGGATGATTGTATGACAGATCATTACATCCAGATAAAACCTATTGTCAAATTTTGTTGTTGGAAAAACTCCAAATGTGAAAATTCAGATTTAGCTGTTATTATTCAGACTATAGTCTTTTGCAAATCTCTTGAATTTCTTGTTGTAGTATTTATTTGACATAGAGGCATGGTTTGGTATCATTTTGTTGGAAATAGCTTGATTCTTAAAGGTAGTAAATTAAAACCATTATTAGACTAAGTTTAATTTTTACTTTTGATATTATGAACTTCAGCATTATCCACAAATAGCAAAATGAAAAAATAAGCAGTAATTGTTTCAATTTCTAAGCAATAAGAAACTTTGAACTGTAACCTTCTCAAGAGTTCTCAACATTGGGGGATAAAACGTACACATCCCTTGGTTTCTGCTTGATGAATACACGTTTCTTAGAAGAGGAAGGAGCCATTTATAAGGGGCAACCATCAGCATCTGGTAGGAGATGCATACATATTTGCCGAATAAAAAGTAAAGAGTAACCAGCATGTTTATCAGGGTTATGGTTAAAGACATACCCAGGGGTCCTACCGTAAAATGATTGAAAACATAGAACTAATAGTCTACTTTAGATAACAAATAACGTACAATATTTTAAGTTTAATGGATTAAATGTAACCAATTGAATCAAATGAGTTCCAGACAAAGCCAAAGACTGATCCTGTAGAGCACATGAACAATTGGTTACATCAGTGTTTTGATATCTGGAGTTTCCTCTTAAACTATGTAGGTGGGTGAAGAGTACTTGTAAAATCTGTGGTGCTGGAGATGTTAACAACCACATGATGTTTTGACCAGTCACTGAATTTCCAAACTTGGAGTTTCTTGCTTTTAACAAAAAATCTTAAATACCTTAGTAATGAAGATGTTGACTAACTTCAAAAACTTCTTCTGTTACAAGCATTCTCCGTTCTTTATGGAAACATTATGCCTTACAATATATTAACTATACTTTGTTCATGACCAAGATAAGTCTGCCTTTGAATCTTTTAGGTGTGTAAAGGTTCTAGTTAGTGAGGGTTATAAGAAATGGTTTACGGAGTAGTGTATTCAAGTGGGGAGCTGTCAGTGTGCAAGCTGCAACGCAGGCGAGTAAAGTTTTAATTCTGTGCTGAAAAATAGAAGAAAAAAATGAAACTTTCAGGTGTGTTTGACCGTTTTAATTTTTTATCTTTTCAGCATGTAATCTTTGCTTGTTCCTTTCTAGTTATGAAAGATCTACCACATAGTAGAAATATTGAACAAGGATTATATTTATTAATTTCAGTGGAGAAAGGACTAAGGGTTCTTTTTTTTTGGTACGCTCATTTTAAAATGAAGAAAACTGTATATAAAATGTGTTTAATTGCTTATACCCTATTCGGAAACTTTGATGTAAGTTTTGGGGTTTTTGTACTTCAGTTAGTGATATACGTGCATGTGCCTGTTCACTGTTTAGTTCAGCTGTTCTGTGTTCATGCGGACAATACATCTGCAGTCTTTAATAAGATATGCATCCATATACGTGGTTTATGATTATTTTCATTTCGATATTTTGTTCATACTCCCTTATATCAACCCCTTATCCAAAATCAATTATTTCCTTCACAGGAAATAATTTGGTATTGCATATACTTTTTTGTAACAATTTGAAATGCCGTAACAAAATACACTGTTAAGGTTATGATAGCTTTAGTTTGTTTTCTAATTTAAAAGCTGTGTGAAGAACAAAGTTTGCTTAAGGAATAAACTATACTAAGGTGGTATTTTTGGCTGGTTTGCTTTGAGTTTTGTTTGCAGTATAAACAATAGAGGAACTTGATGTGTTTGCAAATGTGAGAAGTCATGCGTAGGCTGTCGTTGGTAAGTTACATTATCCACAGTTACGTTTTTAACACTCATTATACCTCAACATTTGTATTTTTAAGCAGGAGTTGATTTCAAATCTTAAATTGTCCAGGTTGGCCTTATTTCCGTATTTCCTTTGTTGCAGTAGTGTACTCATTCTGGCCCTGAAAGGTCCACAGACCCCATACTAGCACATCCATAACAGCCTTGCCAGACAATTCTATTGGCTGTGTGAAATTTAGTAATGACTTAAGTTGTCTGTCAACAATCCATTTTAAAGTGATATACTTTCTATAGCTGAACTTCGTACTATGAAATTAACCTGGTGTATTCAGCAACATTTGCGGACGCTATTGTATTCTATATGAATTGTATGCTTCAAAATGATATGATTAATATAAACTTAACTTGGTTTCCTGTTTACTTGTATTTTGAAATATTGTTGCATATAGCAGATATGACCGTGTCGCATTGTCAGTATTTTGATGAAAAAAATAGGCTGTGAAAACAATGAAAAGCAATTAAAAAGAAGTTTTCCATTTAATAGGAAATTAAAAAGATGATTCTTAATGTTAATATGTGTACAGTGTATTCATGTAAAGGTCTGTGTGTCAAACCGATCAGTTTATGCTTGAGATGTCTGAGTTTGCTGCTTGAAATTAAAGAACTTGTATAAGTTGTTTTGTGCTCTGAGATATAACTTCTTGAGGGTGATGAGGAACAGGAATGTAAACTGCTTTAAAATGTAAGCATTGTTTGTGCACCAGCACTTCAGTCTTCAGTTTTCACAAACTAAGCACTAGTTAAACTATTAGTTATTTTTTCATGTAATATTATGGAAGACACTTGGACTTTTAAAATCTGAGGAGATAAAGAATGACACGTAGATTGACTTTGAGGACAGAAAATTATTGACGGTATATACTCCCTCCACCCTGCCTACCACTAAGTGAGAATTCTTAGTCTGTAGAAATGATAGTTTTCAAAAAGGTTTTCATGATTTAGGGGTAGAATAACCAGTCAAATAAAAACTACAGAAAGTAGTAACTTGGTGTGTAAGGTTATTAAGTGGCAGTTGTCAATACTGAAATAGTGTTTGGGACATGGATTTGATCCAGGATTTTATGATTCTGCAATACTGATATATTTGTTCATTACGTGGGAAGTGTAATCTTAATATAATGAAATTGGAGGTTCTCATTGACTTCTTCCTATCTGGATGATTAATAACCTACTGTATGTAATCACCCTGCTAAGATGTGACTGATAATGCATTTTGTTTTAATGATATGCTGCCCTCTGGTGAGCTTTATGTGTAAAGTCATTTCTCACTTTTTAATAAAAAGATGAAAGTAACTTTCATTTAGCCCCCTGTTTACAGAAATAATTCAGATATTTTCTGACCATATTCAGAAAGACAGCAGTGGCACATCTTAGTGTGTCCACACTGTAGTATTGTTTCCTGTAATGCATTAATATTGGGTACTTTTATATATGCAAATATTATGTAAGCATTTAGTGCTTTTGCAGTGATGGATTGTTAAATTAGTCATGTGCACATACTCCTTCCTGTCTCTTAGCGCATAGATGTGATTTATAATCAATTTATTAATGTTGATGTTAGAAATGAATGCTCCTGGTTGCAAAACTAAATTTTGCATGTCTTTGATTTGGTTTCTATCTTAAAAACATGCAAAGTATCAGTGATGGAGAGCGCAAGAACATTAAAGACTGGCATGTACCCTAGGGTTATGTGATAGGTGGGTAAATGCAAAAAGTTTAGATACATTGTCCTATATACACTTTTGCAACTGATGTGAACAAATGAAATCTGCTCTGTTGTCTACTCTGAGGTAGTTTAGAATGTGATTTTGGTATATGGTATCAGGCTGTATAATGAATGTGAAAAATATGACTTTTAGGCCCATTTAATGCAAATAGAATTGTATATATGCACAGTGTAGAGAGGGCCTAAGACTTCTTTAAGTTTTACATTTCTGCATCGCTTGTTCCAGATTTGTTCATGAAGATACTAGTTCTTGGAGAAAGAAGAAATGCTAGTAGGAACATAGAGATGTGAACCAGGTAATGGTCACATTCTTATAGCAGTGTATCAGTAGGAAAGCAGAACCTGCTGATGGCCATCATATCACACTTCCAAACCTTATTATGTTGTAGACATGCAAATGAGAGCAATGTGTAAGCAGTGTTGATTTTTTTCTTTTTTGCAGAGGGCAGTTGAAGTCCATGTAGTTGTTACATAGCATCTGTTATAAAACCCAAAACATTCTAGGCAAGGAAAAAATTCTAGGGTCACTCCTGTAGCAATTTTTCAAATGTGTGCTAGGATGTGGACTATCTGCAGAACTATTAGCCCATGAAAACTATAACAAGAAAGTGAGCATTATGAAGAAAGTCTAGTCTTGTGCTTCTGTAGGGTTTTTTTCGGTGCTATATCTGTTTAAACTCACCTTTGGCTAATACTGATAGTTAATACTAGTAGACATTCTACAACCACAGGCCTATAAACGTTTTTGCTAAACTGTGATGTCTAAAACCAGACATGTAAAATACCCAGTTAGTATAACACTAAGGAAACACCTTCCAAACAACATGAAAGCAACATTCTGTATTTAAACAAATGTACAGAGAGACATCAAACACATTTTGGTTTTAATAGTTGTTCAACTGTCAAAAATTATAGGAATAGTTAATCCTCCTGAGAAAGAATAGCAAAGTTTCCAAAACTTTGATTCTAGCATTCACCTAGCTCACATTAGTTATCTCATATTTCCTTCAATAGAAACTTAGTTATCATTTTTTTAAAAACTTTCAATGTTTGGAAATGGCTTTTAACCACTGAACCAAGATGAATTTTATTTTTGCAGTTCAAATAGTTTTGCATGTAAGTAACAAAAAGATCTCCTACGGTCTTGCTCTTACAATTTAACATAAACCTCTAATGTGGGCAGATGCTTAGTGAGATTATTTAAGCAAAATACATAGTGGAAAAAAATTACTTTAAAAGGTATTATTTAATGTTATACCAAATCTCTTATTTGTCTATATTTCTGCTTGTTCTTCACAGAATATTGCAAAGATAATTTGGAGACAAACGATAGAAATTTGTGTGCAGAAGCCTCGGGTCATTTAAATTCCTCAAGTTAAAAGATAAAAAACCCTTTTTGAACACAAGCCTAACTTTGGCTTTCTGTCAGACTTGGCTGCCTAGCTATCTAGAAGGCATCCTGAAGGTTTGTATGCCAAGACACTGCTATATGTTAAAAGATCAAAACTGATTCTGTGAAATTAAGTACCTTGTATATGGAGATTCAATGAAGATTTTAAAAGTAAATTGTAGTACTTAACACATTTCATGGTTCTGTATGAGCTTAGATGGACTTTTTGCTTTGTGTTCCTCTGTATCTTAATCATTATACCACTGAAGAATAGGTACTTTACAGACGGGTAATAAGGACACAATGGTGAAGGAAAGCAGGAGTTTGATCAGATTTTTCTGAATGGAATGCTTCATAGGGTCTCAGTTTACACATGTGGAAGTGCATTATGACTGCAGAGTGACTATACTGTACATCTGTAGTCAAGTTACACTTCAGATTTTTGGATGGTAGCTGAAGGGACAACTAATTTAATTAATTGATGCTTTCATAATGACTTTATTATTTTAATTGAAAAATACTGTAAGCCAGTTTGTTGTTTACAGATGAGTGATTAAAGTGCTATAATAGGAATGATTATTTTCCCATATGGTTCATTTCTTTATACCATGAATTTATCATTTAAGAAGTATTTTGTTTCCAGTGCTTTAAAAATTATTTGTGGAAAAAATGTGTCCCATTTCTACTGTTTATCATTTTTTGAAAATGGATGCCTTTTAGGTTTTCATCTGTGCAAGTTATATTCTATGCTGTTTAGGGTGGAGGGTGTAATGAATTTCATTAGTAAGCAGATTTAAATGAACCCAAGATTAAAAAGATGTAATGGATTTAAAAAATACTAACTTAAAGAATATTAGATGAGTGTATCATACCTTTTCTTAAACGGTGCTTGGTTTTGGCAAAAAGCTAATACATTCTATTTAATTCTAATCTTTTATTGAAATTTTATTAACATTTATACCAAATGAAATTGTAACATTCCAAAAGCATAACAGTAAGAATTTAGAAAAACACATTGAACCTGTTTTACAGTGTTGTTGTATAGGAAGGGTATTTTAGAATTTAGTCTTGTTTTGACCAAATAAAAACAATCCTATGCATTCTTGCATCACTTTAAAAGAGGAGATTTGAGATTTAAATGCATCATTGAGGAACTAACCTCTGTATTTAGATATACATTATATTTGTGTTTCTGTATGTGTTTACGTATTCAAAATGTGTATCCATTAAAGAGTCTTATGGTTGTATGAAAATGCAATGACCCCTTGTCTAATATTTTAAATACAAAATGGTGGATGACTTTCTGAGATGAAAGCTGAGGAACAAAGGAACAGGCTGGGTGCACTGCCTGTATGGCAGTATGTGGTTGAGATTAATATAGCCAATCATTGTCACTTGCATTCAACTAATATGTATAGTAACTGTTATGAAATCCTTATGCAGCTCCATGCTTGTTTAATGGTCACCTGCGAGTTACCTACTATCTAGAAGTCCTTTATAACTGCACATATTGTTACCGTCTTTTGTAATGTTACTGTCCTGTGTATAGTAGATCAGTCCATATCCTCTGCGCTAGAGTAGAGTAAATGGGTAATGTTTGTGATAAGAGTAACCCAAAGGAATGAACATTTTTTAGCGCACACTAAATTTGTATATAGTTTGCAATTTCAGAGGTATAATTTCACTGTCAACCACAAAATGAAAATTGTAGCTTTCTGCTTATGGGATTTGTTTTATTAATCACCCTCAAAGGATCTGTGTTTAACAATGTAGTTATAAAATATTGAGTTGATTTCGTATAAAAACATTCAAATTGTTTTTGAGAAAGGAGTTTGAAATATAAAATCATGCATTAGCTGTTCACATTGTGCCCCAATCAATAGAGAATTTAAGGTCAGTGTACTACTAAATACCTAGTAAGTTGCTTATAGTAACAATACAAAACTGCTAAGCGTGACATAAGTTTCCATTTCTAATGCTTTATTTTAGGTATTCTTCAGACTGCATTGTTTCCACCTTTCACTCTACGCAAATCTGTAGCTGTAATGTTGATTTTAATTTCCCTGAAGTTCTTTCCTAATGCTTTGCGAAACTGATTTTGAAAGACTGCCTTTTATTTTTTGATGGGGCTCAGAGGGAGGAGTGTTGCTGGCACAGGGGTGATTTTTAATCTTCATTTGTGATTCCTTTCCCTTTTTTATAAATAAATTTTTAGCATTATTGATTGTCCTAGTTTATAATTGCATTTTTCCTCTTATTTGTGGCTCAGGATAATTCCGTATTAATAATTTGGGACAAAGTTTCATGCTGAAAAACTAGTGAATACTAATTGCACAAAGAATAGCTTGCATGTTCATTAAAAGTGCCCCCTTTTCAGCAATATGTTTAATTAGTAATGTGATTTATAAAACTGCAGTTTTGGTATGCTGTCGAGTTGCAGTAGCAATTTCTGTGCATTTTTTACAGTGTTTTCTTACATTCATTTTAATATTTCATGTTTAATAAGGTTTCGTAAAAATACATAAAGCCCTGTTGGTGTAGGAGCTAGTACTCTAAAATTATAAATATATTCTAAAATTAACATGAAATGTATTTTACTGGCAAAAATTGATAACCTGCGATCATAAACACTTTCTTTCCTTAATATTTTAATCTTATAACTAAAGGACTTCAGCAATATTAAATCTTTGTTGAAAACTTTCTTTATTCATACAAAGATATGACTAATTATACATTTGCATCAAAGAGGCACCTTATAATTTCAAAGGGGCAGTGATTAGAGAAATTACAAATCAAATTGAAATACGTTTGCTAAGACAGTTTGGAATAGTAGTACATGATCTTCAAGCTTTGGCAAGTGAAACAAATCCGGCTTCACCTACGTATTACTATCTCTTGTTTCTTACTGGTTCAGCACCAACTCTAAATGCCAGGTCTGGGGCTTTGTTGCTTGCAATGATGATACATTGTACATGGTGGTAGAATATTTTTTAAGTTCTTGCATGAAGAATGAGCTTTTTGAATGAGCATTTGGAATGCCCATTGGATAATACACGTTTAAGAATGTTTTTGTGTATAGCAGTGAAAAGAATGGTGAGCACCTTTCAAAATGCAATGCCAAATCAATTTTTGTTCTTTGTTTTTATGAATTTTAGTTAAGACTTTAATTTCTATTGTTTATAATCAGTCTTTATTTTCCAGCAAAATGTATTTAAAAGTCCTGGGACAGCTGGTACGTTTGGTTTGTAGACACTACTCTGTGAATAAGTGAATGTGTAGAGAAATTGTAGAATTCTATTGTATGTAATGTAAATATAAATAAAGATTGTATTTTGTTCAGGTTTCTTAATAAAATATGTACTCAGGTGTTTTTTTTCTTTTATTTCAAAAGGATGACCTCTGAATGTTCTGATATTTGTAGAAAATATTTTAATGTTGCAAAACACTTTTGAAGAATCAAGATCTTAGATCTTTTCTAATGAAAAATTTAAAATAAAAGTATAGCTCCTTGTGACTACTATCCCTACTGTTTTGAAACCACAATTCTAATGTTTTAAAATATTCTTCTAACTTAGACAGCTGGAGTAGGCAGAAAATACCCAGGAGTGATGTACATTAAATCTCTTCAATGTTTTGTAAGAGCAGCATTTCTTATTAAAAAAACTCCCATGAGTTAGAAAATGTTCTTTAAGCATCCCATTTATTCCTTTCCAGAGCTTTGGAACCTGCTCTGACAGATGGTAAGCTTTCCAGTGTCCCCAAAACATTTTTGTGCCTTTTAAACACCAGCCTAAGTAACCTCCCCTCTAGGCTTTGTGAATGTGTATATTGCTAGTTTTATTTTGTGCAATTGTTTCTGATTTGGACATAAAAGCTGTATTTATAACAGTCTTATTCAAGAGCAGAGGCAATGATGTGGTCAGTTCAAATAAATCAATTGCTTACGCATTAGGATAGTGATATGCAGCTCTGGTCTATGAGTGTTTTGTTTGTTTCTGGTTTTCATTCTACCTTGGACATAAACTAAATAAGTGGTTAAGAAGTTGATCCAGTTGTATCCAGGTCTGAATTAAATGCTAATTTAAAGATGCTTCAAAAATGGGTCCAACTAAACTAAAAAAGAGACCAACTATCGGTCTCTGGATTTCCAGCTTCTAAAGAACAAGGGAAAGACAAATCATATAATTAGTTCCTTTAGGTAATTAAGAATTTGGCTGGAAAAGTATCCAGATGCTATCACACCCTTCAGGACTGAGTTGTGTTCCCTCCTCCTCTGTTAAACCAACAGGAACCTGGTTGCCCTGGCTTAGGAGAACAATTTCAGTCGTGTTCATTTTACAGTGCCATAGTGTCAAACGATTACTCTTACAGTCACTTAGTAATTTCTAGTAAGACCAGTGATTCATCCTTCAAAACTGTTAATGAAAAATATCATACAATACTGTGTTCAATTAAGAATTGGTAGTCGCACTTGATATTTGGTAACTACACTAGTAGTAACATATTTCAAAGTGGTCATCTCATCTTCTAAAATGGTGTTTGTAAACTGTAATAGGTAAGGTACGAAGGTTAGCCTTGGTATAGTGTTGATCCTTAAGCCTAATTGGTCTAAAGAGAATTCTCATCTTTAAGTGATTAAGAAAATTAAATGCAAAAGGTTTTTGTTACAATCTTAATAGACGGGCTCATTGTCAAGAACAAGGTGCCATGCCAAGAACACTCGACCAAACGCAATTCATTGTTTTTGCTACAAAGGTTTATTGGTTTGAGTAAAAAACGGAAGAAGGCCTTGTCCTCATCACACGTGAGTTTCAGTTGTCAGTGGGGATTCCAGTGTGTCAGACATCTGTTCTTATGCTAGTATAGCACACGCAAAAAGTATATGTACAGTATAAGTATATATATATATTCACTCTACATACTTAAAACTATTCTGCTAAATAGATTCTGTATTAAAAACATTTTGAATATGATCCTTTAAAGTGTTTGTTCAAATACAACAGTTGCTGTTGTCTGTGTGTAGGTAAGCATAATTGCTAGGAACAGCACAAGGGTTTGTTTTAAGTGTACAGCAGATTAAGATCTACATACTTATTGTGAAACAAAAGATTGAAAAAGCAATGTCAATCTTTTTCAAATCAAGCACTGTGTGGTGTTACTCGCTTTTGAACATTGTGGCATACATAGAAATGTGTGGGTGCATATATATATATAAACTGTATATACACAAACGTGAAGTAATGTAAAAATACACCCTGAGATTCATAAAGGCCATTTAATGTACAGAATAAGTAGAAGACTGCCGGGTGTAGTAAGAGTTACAGGCCAGAGGAAGTCAGCAGTCAGCCATGTAATGAAAAGGAGAGGCTTAAACGGAACATTAGTAGAAGCCAGCAGGAAATCTTCTAAGACCCTGGACATTCTGTTTTTGACTGTTGACAGAGTGACTGTTGTGTTAATCATCCTTAAAGTACCTAATTTGTACCACTCCCTTTTCCCTCTTAAGGCATGTCCACTGAAATAAGGGTGCCGTGAAAATGTCCTGCTTTCAGTTCTTAAAAGGTGTTTGTGAAGGTTAAGGTACCAATTGTTTATATTTAAATATAAGAATTTCTATTATTTTCAATATAATGATTCACACAAGTTTTAAAGAAGAGGGCTAAGATTATAATCAATCTCATAAATGATTAAAGGCAGAAATTCCTGAAACAATGCTCTGAATGTTGGCGTGGACAAAGAACTCCAACCATAAACTCAAAGCATCTTCGGTTCAGTAAACCTCCCCAAACTGCGAGTTATACAACTGTGCTCATCTAAAACAAATCCCTGGGTGCACTGTTTCCAAAATAAGTATCCATACCCAAGAGGTTACGTATTTAACATTGCAGAGAAATTTAAATTTCTGCTTTGTATAAAGAAAAAAAAAGGGTGCCATAAAATCTTTCTTACATTTCAATCTTTAAAACTGAGATAATGGTTTCGATTCCAACATGCACTTAAATGATAATTTACATCTTGAACTAATTTTTGCTAAGTTGCAAAAGTTTGTAGTGATGCACAGTTCAAAACTGCATACATGGTCAATACAAACAGCTCCACCTTGGGAACAACAGATATATCTGGAAATACTGCATGACACATTCCTATTGAAATAGTGTTGAAATAAACCATATTACATTAATATTCTAATTATTTTTAGCACAAGAAGTCTAGCTTCTATATGACAAAGGTTTTTGGTAAAAAGAAAATACAATGTACATGAATACATTAAACCGTGACTACTGTTATATAAATTATAGTGGTATAAGTTATATCTACCATTACCTACCAATAGTGCTGCTACAGGTCTTCAAAAGTCAGTCAAGATTCTATTCAAAGTTTTCTACAGAACAAATCAGAATGTGCCCTTCAACTTTACCAGGCTTCTGGCTGCATCGTTTTTCCTTGGTTTAACTGTGCAAAGACATTAAACTCCAAATTAGAGCACAGCTCTCCCTTGTTTCAGTTTTACTTGCTAGCAGATGTCATGGAGTTAATGAGGGTACTGTCCACAATGTAGACATGTACCCAGCTAAAATCATACTAATATTAGTGTTCAGAAATTGCATTCTCTTGCAAAATGCTTAAAGCAGCATGGTATATCACATATAGTGGTAAGAGTAACAATAAAATGTAGGTGTTCACTGAGTTATATCAAATTAGAACAAGAACATATGATTTTGCTCTTGCATGTATCAAACTCGGGGACTGAGGTCAGATGTAATACTTCAAATGTCACATTCCAGTCACATGGAAGGTGCATGCATTGTGTTTCAGAACAAGAACCCCTACTAGACTACAAAAGCTAGGTTTTGAAATAGACTTTGTTTGCAAGATTCAAACCTGCAGTGCAATAGGTACTGTATACTGTATATGTATATATCCAGATATAGGTATGTAAAATGGTTGTACAATTTTATGCTGAAAAGTGTTATCTTCTCCACTCTTTGTTTCTGATTTCTTTTATCTCTGCACCAAAACACGCTGCACTTCACAAGTGTGTGTCTTCTTCATCGTTGTGGTCATCTTTAATGAGATTGTCAATGGGGACTATCCAGCTGTCATTAAATTCCCCATGCAAATTGGCCTTCTTCTCCTGCATCTCAGGATGAACCTCCATCACCTCCAGGGTGGGGTTGTCATGGTAACCGTTTTCCACTGTCTGCAGTTCTTCAGTCAGTTGCTGCTGTATAAATTAGGCAAGATAAGAAGAAGTAGTACAACACTCCTCATCTTAAGTGAAACAGTTTTTTTCTGGAGTTTTAATTACAATCCAGTGTTCCAATATACGGTAGCGCAGGATTTACAGAGCTGCATAAAGCCAGCTTCGAACAAACTTTCAATGGGTTATCACATCTATATATTCAGTATATGATGAGTATCTTTAGGTCAAAAGAACTGGAAATATTATGTTCACTGCGGTACTCTCACTTGGCATATAATGACTTGAGAAGTTTGGCAGATCAAGACCAAGTTGTCAATATGGCTGTGGTCTTGCACCGAGCACATTTATAGCATCTGATTCTCCAGACATTCTGAATGCAAAGTGATCAGGGACAAGAGTCCCTGCTGAGCCAGCCCTGTGGTACCCACTGGCCATTGCTGAGGCTAAATATAGTTGATTCAGATCTTTGTAGCCAGCTTGTTGCTTCTTAGAAGTGACCAGAGGGATTGGACCAGCTCCTGAATTTAGTGTGACTGTCGTGGGCTCATGCCCTCGCCACTTCACCCAACCGGTTCGTCCCGCAGCACCTGGGGAACGAAGTTGGGTCTCCGGCATAACGCAACAGGGAGCCAGCCACATGAGCTAAATGAGACCTCCCTCAGCCCAGGCAGCTGAGGTCCCTGCTACGCGCAGAGAGGGCGATGATGTCACCACGTCCAAACTAGCTCCGCTACATTAGCACAGTTCAGCTCCGCATTGGTCAAAAATGGAGAATGAACGATTGGGCGTCTAATGATCTCAAACTGCTGAAACAAGAAGTTTTCTTCCAAGACAGGTCATTTATAGAGCAGATCACATATACAGTCTTACCTCTCTACAATTCTTACCCATTTTTCGTATAGCCAACTCTCACAGAGCTCTTTACTAACTTTTTACGACTACACTACATATAGCAAATTAGATGATTTACAAAACATATTCAAGATTATGAAGGTAAAAAAGCATACAATTGTATAGAAATTTTCCTGAACTTATAATATTATCAGTTTTCTACACTATTATGAGTTAATTTTTTCTTTTTCTAATTTCTGCCTGTCAATAAATAGTTTTTTTTTCATTTTCATGAGCAGCAAATCTATTTTTTGTTTTAGTTTCTTTTAATGTGGTAAAATATCATGTAAATGTAGAACTACTTCTTTGTGCTTTGTATAAGGAAGTTCAAAGTAAGAAAAGCAGTGCAATTAAAGGTAACAACTATTGCTGTCTGTGGAGAGGGCCATTATGAAAGCTGGCTGCATTAAATGAGCAGAATATTTTCCCATTTTCCCAGTGTTTTTAATGTTTCCCAGTGTTTTTAAGGCTTTGATCTCATTTTCTAAGTTATGTATAATACTTTTCAGTTCATCACTATACCTTACCTGTGCTTTTAGTATGATTACACTGGCATGTTTCACTCTTTTTACCATGGTATAGCAAGTTAAGCTTTCATATAGGAAAGCATGCTAACTCCTAGGTTACAGTGTAGTTGCTAACTTTCATTAAACCCATAGATAGCTGGTAAGCAAGATATAAATTTAATGATGTTCATAAGTCTGTAAAAATGTGTCACAGACTTGTAAAACAAGAATCATATAAGGGGTGAAATTATTCAATTATATCATTTGAAAAAAAGGGAAGGTCTTAATTTAATAAAATTGTTCAAAATAGCAATAATGACTTTTGTTAGCACTGAAGGCATATAGCACTATGTGATGTCTAATAAAAGCTTTTTCTGGGAACAGTGCATCTTTGAAGTTCAGGCCAGTCACTATGTTTGTGTAAAACCAAAAGAGGAGACAAACAGAACCTGTATGTCAGTAAAAACAGAACAAGGGGTTAGAGGTGTATGGTTAGTTACACATTTCTGTTTGACATTTTTATTCCACTATATTTTTTCTGGTAAAGAGTAAAACTAACCTACAGTAGGTACGGTAGGTTATATCACGCACATGCAAGAATGGTATTACATTTAAAACCACGAGCTGCTCACCTGATTTTTCCTATAGGATTTCCGTTGACAAAGAATGCACACAAGGAACGCAACAATTATGAGCAGTAGTCCACCACAGGAGGCAAGAACAGCAGTCAGTGTCAGAGTAGAACCAGATAAACGTTGGTCAGAAGATCCATTGCCCTAAAAAAAAGTGTCATAGAAGGAAAAGGACAAAAAGACATTAATTTCAAATAATACAGCAGAATAATTATGTCCTGTACACTGGATACAGTAAGAGTAGGTAACATAGAGCCTAAAAACAGATGTCAAGGAGCCAAACATTTTAAAGACATCACAGTTGTGTCAGTATTAAAATATCATATTTAAAATCATGTGTTGGACAGAAAATCTGCTTACACAACAAATTGTTTTGCTCCTTATATGTTCATTGGCAAGCTCAAGGCACTTGTTACTCTATTAAAAAAATAAAGGAAATAATTAGCAGTAATTGTATACAGTGATACACACCTTATTGATTTTTTCCAGCTCTTCAGGACTCACTGCAGCAAAATAAAAAAAAACATAAAAAAACATTATGTTAAAATACTAAAATGGCTAAAATACTATTTTTACTCAGGCAAACTGTTGTGGAAGTAGCTTCACACTGTAATTTTATCAAGTGCAAATTCAGAAAAAAAAACAATGGCCTGGCTTGATGTAATATCCAGTATTACAAAAAAACATGAGTAACATGAGTAACATGTAAATACTAATAAAGACACATAGTCTACTTAAACTTCAAAGAGTAGAAAATAACCAAATGTAAGAAAATAGGGATTGTGATATTAACTATATTTTTTCATCTGAAGAAAAAAAGGGCGGTGTGGTGGCTCTTCGGCTAAGAATCTGTGCCTGTGGCTGGAAGATTGTGGGTTATTATCCCACGGCCGGCAGAGAAATCCTACTCCGTTGGGCCCCTGAACAAGGCTCTTAACCCCAACTGCTCCAGGGGCGCTGTATAAATGGCTGACCCTGCGCTCTGACCCCAAGCTTCTCTTCCTGTCTGTGTGTCTCATGGAGAACAAGTTGGGGTGTGTGAAAAGACAATTTTTTTAATACAAGAAATTGTATATGGCCAATAAAGTGATAATATCTTAAATAAAGCCCTTAGCTTTTTTAAAATAGAAAAAAAGGGAAATCCCACCACGTAACAATATGCTGTTAAAATGTACTGTTCCATTTGCATAAACTGTTATATGAGCATCACAGATCAGGGAAGGGTGTTTCCTCCTCGTGTCACACTCTTCTTTCACACGTTTTCTTGTTTCATTGCTCTAGATACAATGGAAAATAAGAGAAACACATGGACAAACTTGTCAATATCTGAGTCCATGTCACCTAACACTACACAACCATCTCCATTTATCACTGCATTCCCATTATTCGTTATGAGCTATGAGCTTGGACTCCTATACCTCAGTGTGGGCTAAATAACATTTCCCTTGACTGGTCTTCAAGGCAACCCAGCCCTTGAAAAACCTCCACAAATTTGGCATCCTCTAACAGAATATTGAAGAATGGGTGTGCGGCGCAGTGGCATAGTGGTTAGCATCTCTGCCTCTCATTGTTGAGGTCTTGGGGTCAAGTCTGATTTCTGGAGTGCTACCTGAATGGAGTTTTTATGTTCTCCCCCTGTTTGTGTGTGATTCCTCAGGGTGCTCCAGTTTCTGGAGCCCAAAAAGATACTGGTTGGTTAACTGGCTCCTGGAACAAAATTGGCCCTGGTGTGAATAAGTGTGTATTTGTGTCCATGTGTGCCCTGTGATGGACTGGCCTTATGTCCAGGGTATTTTCCTGCCTTGCATCCATTGCTGGCAGGAATAAGCTCCAGGTCCCCCACAACCCTGTATTGGATTAAGTAGTTAGAAAAGTGATGGATGGAATTGATGGATGGATGGATGGAAATTCATTGCAAAATGAGTACTACATATTCGCACTCAAGTTCCTCCATCTTCAAAAGACTTTCTCTGCCAATTCCTTTGGGGCTTCTTTGATCTGTAGAATGCTTAAGTTTGTTTGTCTTCGTCTGCTTTACGAAGTAATATTCTATGCTTTCTGTGGCATCAAGTTTAAAAAGGTAATTCCTTTAATCAAAAACTGCAGATGCTTCACAAATTCAAAAGACAGAAAGGTAAAAATAGCTCCTTTCAATACACTGGAGTGCAACGTATTCTATCTATTGTACGCTGAATATCTAAACTGAAGAGGGAATGTCAGCTTTCATTGCTGCTAACAGAAATGTCCCCTTTGGGATGTGACTTAAGGAAAAAACTAAATATTTCCATGAAGGCGTATTTTCCACCAAATGAGTGTGGGACAATTTTAAATGTGATGGTGTTTTTCCAGTCTTTGTAACTGAATAAAAACAAAACGTAAAAATAAACCTGAGTTAAAAGATAAGAACAAGTGGCCATTCAAATTGACAAAAACAAATAGTACTGATAAAATTAATCCTGCTTCGTGAGCCTCAAGAACCTTACTACCTCAATATATTCCACACAAAACTACCCATTTTAAATCTTATATTCACAAGCATTTATACCCCAGTATTATGGTGGTAGATACACAATAAACTATTTAACCACAATGAAGTTTTATTGTGTGGGAGTTCTTTTATCCAGTTCTCTCCTAGTCCAGATAAATGTTTTCTGTAAAGCACAGGTTATCTCTCACCAGCCTAAATCTCAGCTCTACACCTGTGTAATCACTTATATGACTTGTACTAAATTGTACTTTAGGAAGACAAGAAAACTACACAATATCTCTGTCCATACTCTGATTGCATTCCTTGCAAAGCTTGATGCCACATTTACAATGGATGTGTACTGCAACAAATTTCCATAAATTATGAGATATCATGGCCTTTCAATGGTGATGGTACAGCACCATGCTTGCCAAAATGAAATAAATATAAGATAACAGGTGGAGTGTATGTACTGTAGTTCAAACCCCAGACTGATGTCAAGGATCTCATTATCAACTAAATACCCTCTCACACAAGTAACTCTCAACTGTGTTACCAGAGTGCTGAAAGAAACCTCCATCCATTCATTCATTTTCCAATAGTTTCTTCCAATTCAGGGTTGCAGGGGAGATGGAGCCTATCCCAGCAAGCAACAGGTGCAAGGCACAGGACACACTGGACAGGACACCAGTCCATCACAAGGCGGAAACACCAACACACACACGTATGACCAATTTTCCTAGCCAGTTAACCTCTTTGGACCCTGGGAGGAAACCCACGTGAACACAGGGGAAACAAACTCCATGCAGGGAGCACCCCTGGTCTGGAAT